GGAAAATGCACAACCAGGTTTCAAGTCACAGGGAGAAGGCAAGATTGATTACTCCTGCTAAAGCACCGTGGGTCAGGAGGCAGTCATAAAAGAGGCCGTCCTCACAGAAGACTGCGACCGCCCAGCTTTGCTGGTGAGTATTCTAAGGAAAACCTTCATTTTGCACTGGGCTGTGTACCCTTAGTGTCTCTTGTATCAGAAGAAAGGAAGCATTTTCAGGGAAGGTTGGTCAAGGGTTAAGCCCCCCATCCCCGCCCCAACACACCCCTGTTTTCCAGAGATTGGCTGGGAAACTTTGCCTTGGAGCGCCATCTAGAGGAAATTTCTGTATACACAGGGCATTCTCTTTTGGCTTTGTGATCCAGACTGAACCAGATGACTGGGCTATAGTCAAAAAATTTCCTTCCTTCCTTCCTTCCTTCCTTCCTTCCTTCCTTCCTTCCTTCCTTCCTTCCTTCCTTCCTTCCTTCCTCCCTCCCTCCCTCCCTCCCTCCCTCCCTCCCTCCCTCCCTCCCCTCTCTCCCTCCCTTCCTCCCATTTTTGGCAGAGGTAACCCCAGCAGTTGGGGAGTAGAGGCTAGGGGATCAGAAGCTCACCATAAAGCAAACAGAAACTAGGAAAGTGAAAAGGGACAGGAGGGTGGCGGTGGAGAGGGCACCCTGGAGACGGAGATAGTAGAACACAGATGCTATGTAGGCAGGGATAGGGAAATGGGGGGTTTAACTGGGAAGAGAGGGAGGAGAGAAATACAGAGGGAGAGGAGGGGAGAAGGGATAAATAACATTAAGGATGTTTGAAAAAGTCATAGGGAAACACTATTTTTATGCTTACTTAAAATAACCACACATACGTGTGTGTGTGTGTGTGTGTGTGTGTGTGTGTGTGTGTGTGCATACATACTCAGTTTAAATGCAGTTATGCTACTTGGAGCAATAGTGCTCTTTCAGGGGCATTAGATTCAAAGAAAAAACCCTAGAACCACCAGGCAAGGGAAACTTCCTCTCCAGTTGTTGGCCGGGGCAGGGGTCGAAGAGACTACCCATACTATATAGCCTATTGGCATTGCTCTTGGTTGCCTCCCAGAACTTGTAGGTGGGACCTGCTGCTGAAGACACTACTTACCTCTGACACAGTACTTGGAGGACTCTGGCTAGAACTGATCAGGAAGCCTGCGCCCTGGAAACTAGCTCTCCGAGTGTCCAAAAGTGCCCCGCAAGTTGCCAAAGCAAAGCCACCAATCAACAGTCCCACCTTAGCTGTTAGGCCTCCCAACCACACAATGGCCAGAACGTGCCAAAACATCCCCTAGGGTGTGGCAGTGGCACTGACATCTTGGAGGTAACCAACAGCTGTTTACTTGGATTTCTGTCCTGCTCAGGAGGAGGGCATTCAGGTTTGGTACTGGAAACCTAGCCAACTGCTCATGGCTGGTGGGGTCATGGACCCTGTCGGAGAACCTAGTATGGCTACTTTCCCAAACCAATATAACTCCTAACTGTATTCTAAATACGCGCGTGTTCTTATCCCCACAGGTATAGCTCTCACTCCCCATCAAGGAAGCTTCTTTTTGCAGCAGATGAAGATTATTACAAGAATCCACAGCTGGTCCACATGAAAACAACAGACCATGGGGTGCCCAACCACAATTGATACATCTACAACACAACTCCTCCGCCTAAGGCTCAGGGAACATCTCGGAAGAGGGTGCAGGAAGATTGTAAGAGCCAGAGAACTAAGATGTCTGCTCTGAGATTGTGTCTTGTATATATGACAGGGAGCCCACACCCACGAAATGTCAACAATATGGCTGCCTAAACAAGATCTACATAATGACAACACCCATTGAGATGTCAGTATGGATGGGGAAATCTCACAAGGCTCCACACCTAGATGAAGAGCTACAGGCAATTGGTGGCTTCTGAAGAGAGGGAGAGTCAGTCTTCTCCAGGGATGAGCTCCTGATAGATTATCCAACCCCAGCTGGTCAGCCCCAAACATATACACATAGCAACAACATCAGATGGACCCAGCAAAGTGATATATAATTGTAATTGATTGCGTAATTATAATTATGCAACTAAAGAGGAGGTCATGAATTGAAAAGGGAGTAGGGGGCAAGGGAAGTGTTAGAGGGTGACAAGGAGGCATGGAAATACAGTGTTCCTGTGTGAAATTCACACACAAAAAAAATTAAGTAAAAAAAAGATGCCAGGTTGGGAGGGGTGGGAGTACATCTGATAGGAGTTAGAAGGGGGACTGAGGAGAAGTGGATATGTTCAAAATATGTTGTATCTATGCTTGAAAATTCTCAAAAATAATAAAAACATTATGTTTTAAAAAAGAAGTTCAAGAGCGTTGTCAGCTACATAGTTTAAGGCCAGCCTGGGCTACATGAAACCTTGTCAAAAAAAAAATCCAGATTAACAGAAAGGTTCAGTTTGGGTTCTAACTTGTCCCACAGAAATATAATATGTGGTCCCTTAAATGGAGACAGAGTGTAAAAGGGAAACAGTGGAAGACCTCAGCAGACTTTAGGGGTGTGTGCAGCTCTGGTGCCCACACAGACATAATGTGGGTACCCTTCTGCCCCATATATCAGAAACTAGATTTGTTTCAAACTTTGTTTTCATACATCCAACAATCTTTGTCACCTCCAGAATTATTTTCTTGACTCAAAAAATTCTGCTTAACCAGATTTCCACGATTCAGCTGGAGAAGACCCTTGTGTGAGGTAAACAAAGGCTGGCAGCGTTTCAGCCCGCTGTAATCCTTCACTAAGTTCAGGGAAACGGAGGAGCAGGAAGTAACGACTCTTCCAGATGCCACCACATAGTTCTGTGTGCGGGAGACTAAAATAATATCCACTGACATCTTCTTTCCAAACACTCCTTTCTGCACCGCGCCACCGCCCGCCCGTCCCCCTCGGAGAACTTCAACAGTGAGGGCTTCTATTTTTGCAGCAGCATGAATACAAAAACAGAACCCAGACTTTTTCTAACAGAGACCCTCTTCAAGTTGCTGAGCAAACACAAAGAACCCTTAAAACACTCTGACAGGATGACACCCCCAATTATGGGGGGGTGGGGCATGGCTGGAAAGCGCTACTTTTCTTACACTACTTAGAAGCATCAAGACTGTTGGTACTACAAAAACGGTCAGTGACGAAAGCTCAATGTTCGTTCCTTTTCCCACCTGTGGGTGCACCATGACCCCACCACTGCTACCAGAAGTCTGTTTCCCCAGAGGTGTGCTACAAAAGACCACCTCTGTCCTTGATAGCTACAACGCACGGTGTCATGAACATTTCTATTTCCTTTCTCTGGACAATACTTCTGCTTGCTTATTTTGGCCATTCCACAAATCCACAGGTTTCCCAAGATAACTAGTTAATAAGTCATTGCTTTCTGTGAACCAGACTTGTGAGCTTTCCACACAGAAACTATTTGTCTACTGAGCTCTATTAAAGTTGAGCAAGACCAAGGTGTCTTTGTTTCCAAGCAATGTTGTCCATTGAGCAAGCAAGGCTCACGACTGAAAGCATTTTCCCTCCATAAGTAACTCCTTGGCTCTGATGGTGGACACAGTAGAAGGCAGAGCCTGTCTGGCTCTCTCAGTCAGTCTGCCTCATCCTGAAGCAGAGGCGGACCCACACGAGTTCCAAAGCAGAAAGTGAAGACCTTTTAATCTCATTTTATGCACACTTGAGTTAAAGCCAGTCCAACATATGCTGTTGAGAGTTGACTGAGTGTGTGACAGAGCACAGGTGTGCTGGGATGCAGAGGCACATGGGAACAGACATGTGAATGTTGCAGAAGGAACAAGGAGTTGTCTCTTTTCTCAGGTGGCTTAGCAGAGAATGAGAGACGGGGAACTTAAGACACACAGTAGAAATAGCTGTCCTACACCGGCACGATGTGGGAGGAAGTAATTATGGATGCTTTGGGAGAAAGGGGAAATGCTGTAGAAAAACTGGCATGGGATCAGTACCTTAAAGGTTGGGGAGAAGTTTAATGGATAGAGAACAGGGTGGAGATTTTCAGGAAGAGGTAGAATGGTCTTTGCCCATTTGGACCAAAACAAAATGCATTTGACACAGAAGTCCCAATTTTGTGTCTAAATTTTAAGATGGGTACAAAGACATGAGGTATTTGTATTTATGTTGTAAGAATCCAGAACCCGCCATCTATTTTTTGCACAGTAAATATATTTATATATACGCACACATGTCTATATATCTATACTTGTCTACGTTACTAAGCAGTGGAGAACCAAACATATTTGAGTCAGATGCATTCTCCTTGGCCATTTAACAGTGTAAGCAGAAACCAGACCAATGCTTCTCACTAGCAAACGGGAACAAGTAGAGGGTTTTGTTTTGATCCTGGCCATCAACATTTGCTTTCAGAGTTAATCCAAAGGCTCTTTCTGGCCAGCTGTGCTGGTGGTCTCTATAAATCACACAGGCCTCCACCAATGGGCTAGAGCCTAAGGGACAAATAATTTCAGCGTGGTGAGCTTCTGAACTCTGCATGTCCACTCTTACCCTTCCTTCTCCTGAGGCCTCGCTGGGCATTTCCCCAAGCAAGTGTTCTTTCAGAATTCCATATTCTCGTGGTCATGTTCATACACCCTCTTGGGTCTTTGCAGCAACTCAATCTTATCCAGGGATTTCTCTGCCCTGTGACTCATCTCTAGTTCCTCCACAAAGAAATTACATGGAATTGTAGGGAGTAAGGATGGATGAGAAAAACCAGCTTACCACAAGAGAGCCCTGAGAGGTCCTAGTCTTCATTCTAGGGCAATACTCCCACTTTAAGGTGTTAACAATTTTGTAGATTTAAAGAAACTGTTGTCAAGTATATAATACCATAAACAAGACATATGTGGGTTGTCATGGAATGATTGTGGGGCAATTTTTCAATGAAATAGGAACATATAGGAGGAAGCCGGGGGTCCACATGAGTGGAAGGTGACCCTCCACCAGCCACAAACACACTTACAGTGAGCATGGCGAACATCAGTTGGCACACGTTGAAGGCGTGTCTCCAGTTGTGGTAGAGAACCATTCGATAGTTCTTCCTCACTGTCAGAAGCCACCTGCACAGGGTCTGAAATGGGAGGGGAGGCTGTGTTAGGGAGTGCTTAAGAGCACCCATTGCTCTGGTGGGAGGTCTGGGTCCGGTTCACATCTTTAACTCTGGTTTAAGGGTATCCAATAACCTCTTCTGACCTCCCTGGGTACCAGGCATGCATGTGGTGCACATTCTTGCACACAGGCCAAACAGTCCTACGCATAAAATAAGACAATTCTAGTAAAGACATTTTAACGAAACAAAACCAAACCCTAAACCTCCACTGACTCTCTGTGAGATTCTCGTGGCACTTTCATGGGGGACACAGGCAGGGACCACCACCTACATGGCATTTTTGGAAAGCCTTTACATCACAGTGGCTACAACACTCTGCCAGGTGCACTCCTTAGTGCCAACACAGAACATCTTACCTCATAGTCAATTTTAAATTTCTGTACCATCCCCAGCTCCATGAACATCCGGAGAGCAGCTGTGATCATAGCATCAACATCAAGGGAAAAGTCATCAAAATGGATGTCGTCAATGGCCAGTTCTGACACCAGAGGGATGTTGGCTGCCTACACAATCAAAGACATAAGCCAAGACAAGTTCACTAGCTTTACCTAACCCTGGGTCCCACTCTCTCTTGCTTATCAGTGGGTGCCACATAAATCAGGCCTGACCCGCACTTACACTCTGATACTGCTAAACTCTGAGCTATAAATGTCCTTTTGTTTCTGAGCAGCAAACGCCCAAGAACATGGAGGGGGGAGGGAGAGAAGGCAAGCTAATTAGAAGATAAAATATACACACTGGATCTCTCTACAGAATTCAGAATATACTACTGTCTAGTTTACTGGAACTGTGGCCATACAATATACTCTGATGCAGACTGCTACATGCAGAAACATCTGGGTGGCCAGCAGCTATGAACTTTATTTGCTTCTCTGCAGAGGAGGAGGTAGGAATACACCACTCTTCCTTGCTTCTTCCATTCTTGTATCCTGTACCTTGCAAAAATACTCTTTATTAAACATACATTCTGTATGTTCCGAACATACAGAATGGAAAGGGCAAGCAGCTCATCTCTGGTACAAAACCTGGTACACTGATAAAAGAGAGAAGCTTGGAGAGTTAGCACAGTTTCAGTTAAAAGATAAATTTTGCTATATTGTTTAGCAATATACAGGACAACTCTAATACTAATCAGACATATTTAGAGTTTCCAAACACCCCGTTAGGTGACTGTCAATCAGTTATCCTGCATAAACCTAAAAGGGAGGGAATGCAAACCTTTGGAAATCATTTTTATGCCAATTGGTTGGGTTTACCCTGCCATTTGGGCCACTCTTGCTGTGTGTGGGGGGTTGTTTTATGACTTTCAAGTTACCAGAGACCATTGTGTATTTGTGTTCCTAGTCTATTCACTGGGTATAAATTACCCTGCGAGTAATTTATGCCCTGGAACTACTTTGGCTAAGCAATTAAATCCAGCTCTGGTCACTCCAGGCATTCCAGAAACCACATAATCAATCCTGCCTCTCCAACCCTGTGCTTTTCTGCAAAAGTTTATGTGCCTAAGCTGAAATACAAACACTGGCTATTCCCCACACTGTGAATGAGCGATGGCCAAAGCTATGTGCTGGGACAATTAAGCTTCCATTTTGAAGACTTTACTTCTATCAAAAATTAATTCCCTTAGGCTCTACCAGATCATTTTAATATACCAATAGGTTTGCAGATACTAGATTCCTGGAATTAAATGGTAAGGTTTGTGAAATTCACAGTGGTAGATAGCTGCTTGGCGTGTATATGTCCCTGTGAAAGAGCCTTGTTTATTTATTTACTTTAAGACTTTTTCATCGAAGTTAGATAAATCTCTATCAGTTTTTAAAAATAAGTGTACAAACTAATGGGTTTCATTATGAATGTCACACACGAGTGTCAAGCATTTTGCTCAAAGTCAACCTCTCTCCCATCTCTCTTTCTATTAGCCCCGTTCCTCTCCACTAATAGCCTCACTTCTACATTAATGTTACACATATATCTGAATGTACATCCCACAGATGAGCAAAGCCACACAACATTTGCCTTTCTGAGTCTGGCTTATTTTGTTTAGCACGATAATTCCCAGATCTATTTTATTTATTTATTATTTATTTATGTCTGTCTATTTATGTGCTTCAAGTGACACAATTTTATTTTTCTTTTGGTATTTGTGTGTGTGCCTGTGTGTGTGTATGTGTTCGCACACTCACACAAGTGTGTGCACGTGGAACGAGGGCTTGACTTTGTGTCTCCCACTACTCTTTCCACCTTACTCCTTTGAGAGAGGGCCTATCACTCAGTTAGAACTCACCAGTCGGCTAGGATGTCTGGCCAATGATCTCCAGGGATCCCCCTGTCTCATGTTTGTGCCCACCTCTGTTCCCTTTCTGTGCCTGCCACGCACGGCACTAAAGTTACAGAGGTGCGCAGCTTCATGTGGGGCTGGGCATCTGAACTCAGGTCCTCATGTTCCCACAACAACCACTTATCCACTGAGCCATCTCCCAGTCCAACTTCCTTCTTCTTTCTGGCTGACCAAACTCCACGTCATTGTATATCACTGTCTGCATGAACCACATTTTATGTACGTTATTCTGCTGACAGACATCTAGGTTGATTCCATATCTTGGCTATTGTTAACAGAATATCAATAAACACCGAGGCACTTGGATCTCTGCAGGATTAAACCATCAGTGTTGAAAGCAAATCAGCTCCACTGTGCTGTTACAAACACACACAAAGTCACATTCCTCTGACACACAGTCATATTCTGGCAACAACTGTTTTCTTACCCAGAGCAACCACTTTCAACACCTAGATTTATTTTAATCAAGTAAGATAGTTGAGATTTTATTACTTCTTACAATTATGTTGTTTTCAGAATTATTCAAGCTCCCACCATTGAAGATAATGGTCAATCTGACTCATGCTACATCTGAGAACTTTCTCTGCCTCATGTACTAGCCCATTTCATACACATACATGCCTGCATGCTTGCATATATACATACGTATATACATACATACTTTGTTTTGTTAGGTAACGTTCAACAATTATATCATTATGCCCTCCTGCACGACATTCATAGTTCGCTCACACAATTCACTATGACCACCTGTCAATTTCCTGACCCGATTTTAAGTTTTATAGTAGTATTAGCAGGTTGTTCTTCAGCCTCCCAGTGGAGCGAAGGCCGGCCTGGAACTCCCTCCTGAGTGCTGGGACTAGTCACGTGCCACCGTGTCAGGCTAACGATCGATCTCCTTTACTGTGTGCCTTGTTGCCTGTGTGCTTACCGTTAGTTCGTTCAGACTTCTTTCAAATAAACTGGGAGGGAACTTCCTAAATGATGTCATCGTCTCCTTTAAAAATGTTAGATGCTTTGGGCAAACTACCGTTTTCATGAAGAGATGGCTCCCAGGTTCCTGCTCTGACTTCCCTAGATGAGGGACCTCAACTCACCTGTGAGGTCAAGGAAACCCATTCCTCCCCAAGTTGTTTTGGCCAGGGTTTAACCACAGCAACAGAGAAACCACCAGGGCCCCCTCACTTCCCTGGAGGTGTTAATGACAGTCCGTTTGACGTTTCTTCTCCTTCCCTAGTTTTTACCGCTTTGCTTTGATCTTTGTTCTTATGGTGACAATTTACACAAAAGTTCAAGTAAACAGAATTATTAAGTGCATGTACAGTATTGTACAGCAGACCTCTAGAACTTAACCATACCCTCTGAGCAACTTCTAATATCCCATTCCAGCTTTTAGCAACCATCATCCTCTTTTCTGCTTCCAAGTTGGGCTGCTCTAACTGTCTTGTACACAGGGAGCCACGCAGTATTTGTCTTCACGTGACTGGCTTGTATGACCAGCATGTTGTTGTTTCATACAAGTTGGTACCTTCCCCTGTAAGGATACTATGCTAAGGGATGTGCCCCCACCACACTTTTCCTTGACCCTCAGGTGGCTCAATGTCTTCCTCAGTTATCCTCCGATAAGAGAGCTGGAGATATCAGAGGCTTTACCAGTCTTGGAGGTTTTCCTTGGGTTGGTCAGGTAATCTTTGGTTTCCCAGTCTTCTTGCTTAAAAGCTTCTATTACAGCTTCGAGGTTGCCCTGTGGAGGGGCTGAGTGACCCGTTCTCTTGGGGAAGCTGTGAAGGTCTGCCTCCTCGTGTCTTTGCTCTTTTTCCTCCTGTTCCCCAGAGAATCTGGCTGGTACCTGGTTGGGAGTCTGCAGTGGGGTCTGAGGAGCCCCAGTGTGGAACTGTTCACTCAGGACCGTCTTCAGTCCGCACCCCTGTCCTCCTCCGTACAGATGGTGCCATGCAAAGACTCCCCTGCTCTACCTTATTCAGAAGCTAGCCTCCAGACTCCAGGGAGCAGGACAGCAGACCCTTAGAATCCCTGTTTTCCTGCCGCAGCCCGACTTTCATCCTCACTCAGCGCCAGCTCCTGAGCTCTTTGTAGGGAGGAGTCGATGGTAGAAAGCTGACCTCTCACCTCCGCGTTGTTAGCTGTTTGACTTTCTTGGGTTTGCTAAGTTAAATCCTATTTATCTGTCTGTTCTCTGGGTTCCAAAATGTTGTCATTAGTAACTTCTTTCTCAGTTTGGCTTTGAGAATTTCTACCAAATCCTCTGTGACTATTTTAAAAAGGCTTGGGAAGGGAACAAAAAGACAATGAGTATGTTTCAGTGACTATTTTAATCCATGAGTTATCAAAGTGCTGTTTCTAAATGACACTTTTTAAATGGCCAGCTTGGGAGCTCAGAAGTAAGTCAGACTTAGTCTTCAGCCCCTTCTAATACATGTGACCGGTGGTGGCAGCCATGTGCAGTGTCCCTGTGTGTTCGGTGTGGGCGATCACACTAATCAGGCTGCAATAACCAACGGATACTACACTGCTTCTCCTTAGCAAAGCTCCAGAACAACTTGGTTCCCCCTCACTTCTGTGGTTTGCATATAGAGAATGCCAAGTATTTGAAAAGATCCATGTTAGTTGCCATTTGTTCAAATTTAAGTGGAACCAGAAAACGGCTTCCAAAGAGACAAAGGCACGGTCGGAAACGACACAGGTCTTTCTGGTCTCAGCAGGAAAGTGTTTTGGAGTTGAGACAGGGGACTGGAACCTCTTAAAGATTGTCACCGGAGAAGCCCAAATGGTGATGGCGACATCACTGCTGCTCCCTCAGTGGCCCCTGTCTTCCGGTTATTAATAGGGTGGTCCTCTGTGCCATTATAAATTTCCCCCCTTCAGAGGCACTAAATTCACTTAATTATCTCAAAAATTAAAGAATATAGGCATTTTTTCATTATGAAATGTTAATGGAAAGGAAATAAGAACATTAGGTTGAGAAATGGAGGATGACCTCTGGTTCACTGAGACCCAACCTTATTGACCTTGTCTTCTTTCCCTAATAGGTTGATTGATCCACAGTTAAATCATACCCTGAGCCCTGCTGTAAACCCTTGCTGGCATGTACGGATGCATAAAACATTCCTACACTTTCAGGAGAGATTTTTTTTTTGACCATTT